TAAGTAGTAGTAGTAGTAGTAGTAGTAGTAGTAGTAGTAGTAGTAGTAGTAGTAGTAGTAGTAGTAGTAGTAGTAGTAGTAGTAGTAGTAGTAGTAGTAGTGTTATTGTTGTTGTTGTTGTTGTTGTTGTTGTTGTTGTTGTTGTTTTTGTTTTTGTTATCCTTATTGTTATTACAAGATATCTTTCCAGCCTACAGCCTTGAACCCATTCTCACTTCGATGAAGTGAGGAAAAGTCACACAACATACCTCTACATAGGACATAATTTCGTTCCCATGGCAGGGTTCAAACCCATGACCCTTCAGTCACAAAGCACAAACCGCACTTCTGTTCTTGCTAACTACTCCAAATCAGTCTTGAATTGTGTGTTCCAAATACATCTAGGATATAGAGTGATCTAGATCTAAAATCTTGTTGAAAAAAAAAGATTACGCACCAAATACGCGCCAAATTTTGATAACGTTAATACAACGAAGTAAACATGTTGTGGGTTTAAACGAACTCAACGTGTTGGGGACATGACGAAATCAAATGTTTCTACGAAAGTCGAAAAGTCAATACAATGAGGTTTGGCCTGAAGTACCCATCGACCCTACGGAACACACATCGAAACAGAGTTGGATATGGAGATTCTAGATCTGGAAATAGGAGAAACAGCTGTCTCTCACACACGGCGAAGCACAAACCGAAACGGAAGTAGTCCTCAGTTAAATATGAAATGGCAAATGGCAGAGTGAAAACATATGAGAGCTTCAATTCACGGGAAAAACCATCAAACCTGAAAAATCAAACAGTAGTTTCGGAACTTTGAAAATATGCCTACGTAACATTTTGTGACAATTCTTAACTGAATCATATTTTTTAAGATTTTATGGGCACCTGTGTAAAAAAAAGTATGCTGACCTCACAAATGGGATTGGCTCCATTATAATAAAATTATTATCCTGAGCACGCTTTACATACACACACACACACACACACACACACACACACACACACACACACACACACACACACACACACACACACACACATTCAAAGTTTGTCATTCCCTCTTGGTGACATGGTGGCAGGCTCGACGAACTGATCTCGCTGAGTGTGAAGTAGATTGTCCAAATATTACACCAATGACTGCACTCGTGAATGCTTGTGTATAATTGTAAACGTCTGCGTACGATTGAAAATGGTTGCAAGTGACTGTACATTTGATTTGTCTCGTAGTAAAGTGACTTTGGTTTTTGGATTCCAGGGATCGACGGCCATACGGATGATATTCACAACAACAGCAGCAGCAGCAGCAGCAGCAGCGGCAGCAGCAGGGGGAAGGAGTTTGGTATGGGGGGGGGGGGGAGGGGATTTGGAGCAGGGGTATATCGCCAACTTCCCCCTTTCCCCACCTTTCCATAGACACAAAAGGACAAAACAGGGGATTCGACGCTACGTTTAGTCCAACCAGGCAGTGTAGGGGCAGAGATTCACCTAAGATATACCACAAACCTTGACCGCCATGCTGTCAGACAGTCCATCTGCGTCCTCACATGTCAGCACCAGTGTATACTCTGGCACAGAGGTCAGGTCAAGGCGGTCCACGGGGTCAAAGGTCAAGCACCAGTCCGAGGCTGGACAACAGACAGAGAGATATTTGCAGAAAAATGAGCATCGGCGGTCTGGTGATTAGCCTCTCAGGCCAGATGCTTACATTATATTGCGTAGATTGTCTTCTGTCAACAAGAGCCTATGATTGTGTCGCAAACTATGTTTGGCTCTTTTCGTCTGTTGCAGACGTCAATTTAGCTTAAGAGGGTCTCTAGGTTGTCTTCATGCAGCTTCTTTCATAACTAATTCGTCATATGTTTGAAGCGCAGATTCTGTCGTAGTGCTTACATGTAAGTGAGGTAGAGCGAAGCTCTGTATTTCCGCTGTTTTCCTTTCGTCGTTGGCGCTTCTCAGCTTGATTGTTTCTGAGGCTGTTCCCAAGCATTATAGTTCTTTCCCTTGTCATTAATTTCCTCCATGTATTCCTGTTCTCAGCTATTTCTTCCTAAATTCCAACATCTACTCCAAGCTTAGATAGGCTGTTTTTTAAGAGTCGCAAAGTATAGGCTATTGGAATAAAACTTGTGGGATTTGGTCAGGCGTAAGCAAATGAACGAAACCCACAAAATTAACAAATTTGTTCATTTTCAGTGGTACATCTTATAAAATGAAAAATGCGAGTCCTTGTGACTAAATACTTTATAATGCTCTCTGAGGGCAGAGCAGTGGTAATGCCACAGCCAGTGAAGTTATCATTGAGGCAACGGTACTGCTAACTGTGGGCAATGAGGGGAGTTAGTGTTAGACTGGAGGAATAATTGTTAAGGAGGTTCGAATCCCGTCATGGACCCGAAGTTGTGTCCTTGGGAAAGACACTTTACACGAATTATCCTCACTTCAACCAGGTGGGAATGGGTACTCAGCTATAGGCAGCAAAAGCTCTTGTCAGTTTGTTAGTGTTTGAGCGCTTTAATCAGCTGCTTCGCTGTTAGTGTTAGCTTCCCGGCAAGCTGAGAATGTTTCTTATTGTTCTATGGTCTGCTGGGGCAATAATAGAGTGAAAAGAGTATAGAGCTTGCTGTTGAGCGGGGGTATGCGCTTTACAAATGCTTATTATTATTATTATTATAATTATAATAATAATAATTATTATTATTATTATTATTATTATTATTATTATTTTT